TTCTTATTTTTCAGTCTTTACCCTTCTCTTTCTTGCTCTGAAAGAATCAAGAAGCTGCTGCAACATTAGTGATGGTTTGGGGGCCGCCAAGAAGATGTTAGTAAGCACATCACATAGCAAGCCATTTGAACTTGCCCTTCTAACCCCGAGCCCCTCCCCTCTGGGTTCCTTCAGTACTGTCTTTTCCCTGCAATCCTGGTGTCTTTCCACTTGCTAGTTCTTCCTTCTGACCCTTTGTCCTCTTCCTGTGTTGCTTCTGATCCTATCAATTCCCAATAAAATATATCTGCAGTCTGACTCACTTAAGTTTCCACCATCTCCCACCCATCTTTTACTTTTTTCTTTTCTTATTCTTTTTTTGAGATGAGGCCTTTGTATGTAGCCCAGACTGATCCTGAGTTCTCCACACCCCTGCCTCCAAAATGCTGAAATTATAGCCAAGATAGGTATGTACCAAGTTTCCCACCTCAGTCCTTGCTAGAGCCTTCTGACCTCCCGGCCTTTCTAGCTCACTCTGTACAAGCTCAGGTCTTTGCCCCAGAGGCCTTTAAAAATGCTGTGAGATTATAACTCTGATTTTATGCCTGCTGCATTCACACTTGCCAGCTGTTTTGCTTTTTAAATACTCTGCCTCCAGGGCTTGGGGTCTCCATATTCCCAGTTGAGCTGACAAGTGAACTTTCCCCAGATAACCAGTTCCCTCCAGGTATTTAGTGCCATTTGTTTCCAATTAGGAAAAACCCCTACCTTTCCCTACTTTTCATCAGTATTTGTGACCATCATATCTTATGTGTAATTTGCTTGTTTATTGTTTTATTTCTAGAGCAGGGCTTTATAAACTGGAGCATACAAGAGAACAGGCTAGGATGCCTGTCAAAGCTCAGATTGTTATAACTCATCCCTAGAGCTTCTGATTCAGTGTCTGGGCAGAGGCTGTGGGCTTGTGTTTCTGTCATGTTCCAAGCACATGCTGATACTCCTGGTGCACAGACTCTACTTGAGAACTGTATTCTAGAACTGTTCTATCCAGGATGGCAGCCACTCACTACATGGGTTTACTTCAGTTGAATTTTATACTTTGGTGAAATTAGAAATTCAGGTTGTTAGTTCACAAGCTCAGTGGCTGCTAATTAGATAGTACAGACTTAAAATATTTCCGTGACTGTAGTTACTATCTAAAGATAGATTTCATTTTTGCTTTTATATTTTTTCCCTCCTAAAGTTATATCCTCATGTTTATGCATCTAGTCTGCCTAGGGCTTACATCAGTGAAAGATATAAGGAACATACCCAGGTTTTATATTTTTTCAGGAAACTAATTTTCCCCAAACCACTCACTGAGAATTCAGTTCCTGTCCCCAGAAATCTAAAATAGCAGTAGACATTCAGTATTAGATTTGTTTATGTATTGGAACCTATAGCAGAACCTTCTGATATGTTGTTGCATTTATCTTGGAATAGGAATATTTTTAATATAAATGGGCATTTGTGGTTGTCATAAAGAATTGAACTTTGAATTATATCATGAGAGAATAAAGTCATGAAGAAGTCCCTGGCCAGCAGGTGAAGGTGCTGAGTTGGATCTCTGGATCTCCACATGTGCACTGTGATTGTACACCCACATACATCATGTATACACACACAATAATAATAAATAACATATATATTTTAAAGAGAAGTCCTAATTTTCAGTTGGCTTTCAAAGAGGCATTTTAAATAAATATTTAGGCAATATTAAGTTCAAAGTTCATTATAAAATTCTGATAACATGTCTGTTGTTTTTTTTACAGTGCACCCTGGTATAAATGATGATAGATAACCAAGTTGAAGAAATGGGCCTTTATTTTAATATTTTTGGCTACTTACCCCCATTAATTTGACTAACATTTATTGTATCCTAGAATTAAGTACCAATAAGATATATCCAGTGGTTGTACAAAGAATGTTAAATTTCTCTTTTTAAAACTGGAAAATATTTTTCTTAAATGTAATGAAAGAATGAGAAATGATGGCATAAAACACAGCAGAAAGGAAACTTCAAACCAAAACTTTTATTACTGGTTTTGCCATGTTCATTTATTTTATATTTTTGGCAGAGATTCTAAGCAAGGATATATTTAGGAAGGAAAAGGTGTTCAGGTTTAAAGTTTTAGTGTTTTCACATTTATTATTTGACACATTTACATAAAGAGAAATAGAAATATGATCAGCACATGTCACTATTTATAAACAAATAATAGTGGGTAGCTCCCCATTTGGTTGGTAGTGAAAACTCTTCTTCTTCCGGCTTAGCTGTATTTGAAATTATATTTACTCTAGACATTATCTAACTTTAAATATTTATTTTCAATTTTTATTTCTGTATGGTGTGTGTGTATGTGGACATGTGAGCAGGTGCCTGCACCAGAAGATGGCATTGGAGCCCCTGGAGCCAAGTTACAGGTGGTTGTGAGCTACCCCATGAGGGTACCAGGAACCAAACGTGGGTCCTCTGGAAGAGCAGGAATCACTCTTAACCTGAGCCCATTATTTAACTTTATTGATTAACAAAGAATAATGCTACCGTCCCAAATCTAGAATGGTGTATGACATCAGTTGCTGTCACTGAATAGTTACTATATCATTCCAAAATAAACTTTTGTGTGACCAGTATATTGTTTGCTTCTGGATGAAATTTAAAACATGCTATTCAGGGCTCAAAGAGATGTCTCAGTGGTTAAGAACACTGGTTGTTCTTGCAGAAGACCTGGGTCCAAATCCCAGCACCCACATGGCAGCTAACAACTGTCTGTAACTCCCATTTCAGGGGATCTGACGGCCTCTTTTATCTTCCACAGGCATTGTATGACATGGGTGCATGCACACGCATGCAGGCGATATAATCAGCCACATAAGATTTAAAAAATAATAAAATATTTTTTAAAAACATGCTATTTAAAAGTCCAAATTTGGGCAGTTATAGACAAATTTTTATCTATGAGCATATCTATAGTGACAGAGAAGGTCATGAGGTTCTTAAATATTATTGCCTAAGCATCTATGAAAGGAATAGAGAATGTACTGAAAGATAGTCTAAGGTTTTTTTTTTTTTTATTAGGAATTTAGTAGTCTTTTACTGACTTTTAAAAACCCATGTGCAGTAGAATGCTGCTTGTACATGAGGGAGAGGAAGGGCACCGCTAAAAAATATACCTCTGGTAAGCTGGGTCTAATCCCTGGGGATGTGTGTGTGTGTGTGTGTGTGAGAGAGAGAAAGAGAGAGAGAGAGAGAGAGAGAGAGAGAGAGAGACAATCATTGAGAATGGACCAGGAACTGTCAGCAGCATAGAAGATGAGGGTAAAACCAAACTGAACACAGAGGTTGTTTGGAAATCTATGTGACATGTTGCCTGACCTCAGGTTCACATGGTGCTAACAACTGGCTCTTCAGCACTCTTAAGGAGACTCTTTCTTTAAAAGCTAAATCAAAGAGGCCACAAATCCCCAGAGGCAGTTAGGAGAGTAGCGTGGTGTGCAGTATTGAAACAGGTGTACTATGTTGAATATAGAATACTGAATGGTGAATTTCTTAGCCTCATTTCCCTGTCAAGTTCCTGGAAGCTAGTAGTTTGATTCTAGCAAAAAAAAAAAAAAAAATTTAGAGAATCCTTTTAACTGATATTTACACTTTCCCCTTGAGGAGGAGGCTGGCTGGTTACCTGGTTACCCTAAAGTGAAGCCCATAAACTTCCACCCACTAGATAGGAAATAAGACTTCTGTGCATTGTTTTAATGTCTTTTTCTTACATGTGAACTCACAGTTTAGAGTTACTAGGTATCTGAGGAAAACACAGAATACAAAAATGTTGTAGGTTGTTTCCTTGAGGAATGACAAAGACCAAGACCACAAAGTTCTGTTGATACCATTGAAAACTTATGTGTCAGCAATTGGAGTCTGTAAAAAGGGAAGCAAAAAACTGTCAAGTGTCCTTGAATGTCAAGTTGGATGTGCATGAGTCCTTGGAAGCCCATTCCTGTATAGAAATAGGTCCTGTATTTAACACTCAGTAATTTCTTGACATAATCTCAAACATTTACATTTATTGTCTTACTCAAGGGCCAATAAACTTTTTCTGTCAAGGATCAGATAGTAAAAATCTGAGTCTTTTTGGCTCATACAATCTATAGTTCACACCTACTTCAGTCTTTCATCATAACACAAAAGCATCTTGAGACGTTATATAAGCAAATGGGCATGGATATGTTCTAAAACCCTGAAATCAGAAAGCAGACTATGGGAACCAGGCATGGTTGGCACATGCCTGTAATCCTAGCACTAGGGAGGCTGAGGCCAGAGGATGATGAGTTTGAGGCCTGACTAAAGGTTAATTGTGGTCAGCCTAGGCATGTAGCAAACTGTGGCCTGTAAGGTACAGTTTGTTGACACTGCTCCAGTCTTTCAAGTAGAGTATTAAATACATGAGAACAGGTGTGACATAGTATTTGTGTCGACATCAGAACCTAGGAAATATTAAATAAGTATTCTTTGAAGAATTTAAGAAATCACAGGACTTTTCAGAAGTTTGGGGGTTCTCACATGTATGTTCTCCATTGTCTGTTCTCTAAAGCCAAAAAGGTGGTGGTGGTTTCAAGTCCTCCATCCTATGGGACTTTGGAATGTCGCCAGTTCATGAACTGAAGAGTGTAAATATCCCAGATAGTACTGGGGAGTGTCTGCTAAACTAAGTGACTGCCCTTAGGTAAAAGGACTCCTAAAATTTATGACATGGAGAAACTTTGCAAATAAGATCCCTTGAGTTATAACCAATGCCATGTTAACACTTATGATTTTGTCTAATTATCCTAAAGTTAGATTTTTAAGCTGTTGTCAATATTTCTTTGTAACTTTGTTTTGTCTGTTGAACACAAACATGACCTGAGAAGAATTTTCAAAACGGTGTTTCATATTCCACGGAGTTGCTTTTCCGGACCCTTGTGAACATCATCCTCTTTTTTTGCAGCAAGCCAATGATGGACTTGCTGGTATTCCTCTGCGCACAGTATCGCCTAAATCCATCAAGTCACACCATTGATTTGCTGTCTGCTGAACAGAATCACATCAGATTTAAGCCAAATACACCAATAGGAATGCTGGAAGTAGAGAAGGTCATTTTAAAGCCAAAAACTCTGGATAAGAAAAAGCCTACACCTATAATACCAGAGGTAAGGATTCTACTGTAGATTTAGATGTTCTTATGGCTGATTTACCCACTTAATGTTTTAATCAATATTTATTGCTCATTACTAGTGAAATAAAAATTGACTTTCTGGTCTGACTATAGAATATAGTTAATCATGTTTTCCTTGTTTAATATCAGTTGGGCATTGACTCTTGGATCAACCGGAGTTGGAATACTTTAGATATCAAATACTCTAAAAGTTCTCAATATGACTGTGTCAGAATTTGACAACTATTTATTTGCCATATTTTGTTAGAATTTAAAAAATATTGTATATTTAAAGGACAATTTAAACATATTCTAATGAATATTTAATAAGATAATATTTGATTTTTCTGTATTTGGTAAGTGGCATATATGACTCATGTTTTTCTTTTTAAAATTTTTTGGGGTGTGTGTGTATCTTGAAGATTCCAAATAAGTTTGGAATTATTATTATCTAAGTAAGGAGGATTTTAATATTCTTTGCAGTCATATTAAAATTAAGTGAAGTAAATAGTACTGGCAACCACAGGAGGTTGCTCAGTCACAGGACGTAGTGAGCACTTAGTTATCACTGACTGTGTGGCAGGTATGATGCTAGGTTCTTAGTGTGGCTTGTCTCATTTATCAAATACAGAAGTAGTATGAGTGTTTCACCTGCGTGCACATAAGTGCACCATATGCATGCAGTGCCTAAGGAGGCAGGAGAGGTCGTTGCAATTCCTGGAACTTGAGTAACGATGCTTGTTAACCACTATATGGGTGCTGAGAACCAAACCCAAGTCCTCTGGAACAGCAGCCATTGCTCTTAACCACTGAGTCATCTCTCCATCCCAAAAATAAATTTTAAAAATTTTTATTATTTTTATTTTATGTGTATGAGTGTACTGCCTGCATGTATGTGGGCGTACCCATGTCGTGCAATGCCGCAGAGGTTAGAAGAGGGCTTCAGAGTCCCCTGGAACTGGAGTTAAGGATGGTTCATAGTGGCCGTGTGGGTGCTGGGAATCGAACTCAGGTCCTCTACAAGAGCAGTCAGTGCTCTTAATCGCTGAGCCATCTCTCCAGCCCCCCCCCCAAATAAATATTTTATGACACAGTGCAAAAAAGTAATATGTATAAACCTTTGTTCTTGTTGGATTTAAATCTGCTTAATATTTACTATAAAGAATTTTCAATTAAATTTGAACTGTTTAAAAAGCAAACTGAACTAGGCCTGGTACAGGACTCTAATCCTAACTACTAAGTAGGTTGAGGCAAGAGGATCACAAGTTCAAGGCCTACTTTTTGCTACAAGAGTGAGTTGAAGGCCAGCCTGGGCAACTTAATGAAACCCTGTCTTAAAATAAAGCATAGAAAGAGGGCCAATGATAGAGCACTTGTTTAATATAGCCTTAGGTCCAACCTCTAATACCATTAAAATAAAAAAAGGCAAGACAAAAAACTTCTGAATTTTTGTTTCCTTAGAATTTGCTTTGGAATGAAGTAACATAAATGAAAAACAGAATTTTACACCAGAAAAAGAAAAAAACACAAAAGAACTATTTGCTGTAGAAATATGTAGCTGTAGATTAACACATAATTCTAGATTACACTGTGGAAAGTTTTAATAAATGAACTATGGTATAACTATGGCTTTAATTTATGTGTCAGGTAGCTGAGAGTGGTGATCAATTATTCTAGATATCACTGTGTAAATTTTGTTTCAATAAATGAATTATGTTGTAACGATGGCTTTAATTTATATTTCAGAAAACTGTGAGAGTAGTGATCAATTTTAAGAAGACACAGAAGGCCATAGTGAGAGTTAGCCCCCATGTCCCACTGGAAGACCTTGTTCCTGTTATATGTAGTAAATGTGAATTTGATCCGTTACATACAGTGTTGTTGAAAGACTATCAAGCTCAGGAGCCCCTTGACTTGACAAAATCTCTTAATGACTTGGGGCTGAGAGAGTTATATGCCATGGATGTTAGCAGAGGTGAGTTGCACTTGTTTATTCCACTTAAAGTGTATATATATATATATATATGCATTGTATGTGTGTATAGGTACTTGCCAATTCATAATGCCAAGTTAATAGAAAATCATATAGACAGGAGTAAATACATGTCATTAGAAATAAGAAAGGGTTAAATAAATATGAATAAATCAAACCAATATACAATTTAACTTAATATTATTGAAATTGGAAGAAATTCAATAATAATTTTTAGCTGACATCACATTTTCTGTCTATCCAATAATTTTTTTGTGGGTTTTTATTCTTTATCTTTTCGGAAACGGGGTCTCATTGTGCTGCCTCACTTGGACCTGAACTTCTATGCTCAAGGATCCTCCCGTATTGAAGCCTCCTAAGTAGTTTAGGACTACGGGCTTGTACCACCATGTCCAGCTTTCTGGGTGGAATTTAACTTAATTTGTTGTTGCTTTTGGATTTAGAGAAAATAAATGTCTACGTACAGGCCCATGGCTGTTCTAATGAATGGGGGTTACTTTATGAAGACACCCTAGAGTTTTGTATGAGGGTTAGTTATTCAACTTTGGACATTTTCTGCCATTTTCTTCCCTTGGGTCAGCACCCAAAGTAAACCTGTGTGTAAAATGAACCAGTGTTCTTCCAGAAATTTTCCAGATGGCTTATAGTTTTAATCTGTAGAAAGAGCTAAAATTTGGAGCTCTCAGATGATTTTTATGATGCCTAACAGACCAAGGGAAGCTTGACATTCAATATGAATCTCTTTTACTAGGAGAAATAGGGATTTAGTGGAGGAGATAGTTAACACACACTATGCACAGAGAATTCAACCATTATACTGAGGCTATAACATTATGTAGAATAGACACCATCTCTACAGTCAATTTACCCTTTTTTACTCCCTCTTGCTATAGCACCTTCTGTTACTGCCTTCAGTAAGTCATCTTTACAAGGTAAGATAAATGAATCACTAGAAACTATATATTATAACATGAAATTGGGTAAATTAAAATTAAGATTCTAACTTTTACCTGTTTTCCTAACATTACTAATACATACATTCCATAAAGGATTTTATCTTAGAAAATCTTTGGGTTTTATTTTCTAAAAAGAATTTATAGATTCCCTTCTTTGATTTTTTTTATTATAATTCTAATTTGATTTCAATAGAATGCTGTTAAAAAATATCCTCAAGCTATGAGTAGTGGCATACTCCAGTAGTTCCAGCAGTCAAGGATGAGGAAGAAGGATGGCAGGTTTGAGGCCAGCCTGGGCTATATTAGTGAGGCCCAGCCTTAAACCAGAAACAAAAATAAGGGAGGAAATTGCATCACGCTGAAAGTGTGAGAAAATACAGCTGTTACTTATTCACATGCAAGAAAAATTGATTTTTCTAGGCTCTCTCTTGGGTACAAGTGTTTAGTAATACAGTAGAAGGATCTCAGATTATTCCCACTGAGCAATTGTTAGAAGTAATTGCACATTTATCACAGCGTTTTTGCCACTATTTAGCTGGGCTTTTTTGGAGCATTTTAAAATAACATGGAAAATGCATATGTTAAAATTAGCTTTTAAAACTTATAAATACAGTACTATTATGTCTAAAACATCTTGTACATGAAATTTCTGATAGGAAATACATAAAAAATTTAATAGTGGTTACCTTTGTGTGATAAAGCCATGAGCAAGTTTTCATGATTCTTTGTATTATAGGAATTTATAATGAGCATGTATTACTTCCATGGAAAAAATTTTATTAAAGATTATCCACTAATAGAAACTAGAAGTGTCTTTTTTATCCATACAAAAGGATAGGCTGAGATAACTGATTATTCTGAAAATTACTACCCACTTAAAAATAACACTTTAATAAACTGCCCTTTCCGTGTTGTGGACTCAGTTTTCCAGCAGCACACTGATGGACTTATTCTCTGCAGCTGTTATAAGGTAGCCTAATCTAAGGAGTTGAGAATTTTTATGATCTTAAAGTATATGGGCTAAGAATCAGAAAATAGATACTTTAATTCTGTTAGTAAATTGAATGCTTAAAGTCAATCTGGAAAACTGGTATAGGGAAAATAGGGATTTCCCTACAGTGAATAATTAAGAAATTGGAAAATGTAGTCTTTATTTCTTTCTAGAAACAGTGGCCAGTTGCTTGTAATTGGCTTGCTCCTAATTGACAGTCTTTACACATAACTCTAAACAAATTCCATAATCTTTTTAGCTTCATCTTTAAGGTATTGAGTCTATCGATTTTTCATATCCCTTCCAGCCATAGCAGTATACTTTTTTTTTTTTTTTAGAGGATTAAGTATTATGAACAGAGCCTTCAGAGACTAGAGTTGCTAAGCTAAGCAAGCTCATTTTAGAGTGTCAGGATCTAACAGGTCAAATCCTATGTAGACGTCCTTACTTCTTGATCTTGTCTGATGTCATTATTAGGCTTCAAACTTGGCATGCAGTGATTTAGCCTCTTCTGTGATCAGGAAGCCGTACTATTTAAGTTTCTTTCCATAGTAAGTGCAACTCTTCACCTGTCTTAGTGTTTAATTCTGACACTTGGTGATCAGCACATACAGCTTTGAGGATGGGTTAATTAGTGTGGAGGATGACCAGGTGTCTGGGAACTACCATTTGATTCAAACACATTGTGGTTATACTCACCTTACTGCAGTACCACTTGAGTTTGCAAGTTATTCAAATCTCAGGTCACTTGATTCCTGAAATGTGAATGGGGCTCTGATTTCTTTACATTTGCCAGGGAACCTGCTAGCATCAACCAGTGGGAAAAACAGCTCAGAATTAGGCTTATGATTCCTCCCTAACCAAGGAATTCTTAGAAATAAATCACACATGTAAGAGACTTTTAGTCTTGAAGGTAAACATGTTCCTCATTGTTAGTTGTTAGCCTTAGTAAGCTCCCTGTGCAGACTGTGTACTGCTTATTCTGTTTGAGCTGTCACAGTTTTAATTTGTGAAGTTTTACATTAATGTGTTATTATGACATACTGCATTAATCTGTATAGTGGTATTAACTGTCTTCCTACAGTAGTCAGTACAGGGTCATCTTTTTTTTTTTTCTTAAACACTTTTTTTGTAAGGCCTATAGAATATAATTTGTGTCTCCCAAATTCCCTTAGGTATGGGTCCATCCCCTGGAGCCTGGTCAACCTACCCAGCATCACACCCTTAAAGAAAAGTGACTCTTCCTCTTACAGCAGCTATCAATTGCCAGTAGTTCCTCAGCTAGAGCTAGGACGTGTCTCTTTTTTAAAATTTACAACTTATCGAAGAAACCAAGCCATTTGTCTCATAAGTCATCCTCAGTTTGTCCCATTCAGGATTTTGCGGATGAATCCTCTTGGTATCTCTTCATATGTTTATTTGTCCTTCCTGTTTCCTGTAAAGAGGCTATAAAACGCTAGAGATTTAATCAGGGTTTCAAGAGATAATTTTTGGCAGTAATACTACAAAAGATCCAAGTGCTACTTGCTGTAGCCCCAGCTACTCAGGATGTGGGAGAAACCCAGGGTTTTAAGGCTACCCTGAGCTACACAGAGAGATCCTGTCTCAGGGATAAGAAAACAAATCACCCTTCATAAGTAGTGTTTTGTACTTGGATTTACAGACACAGTAATGTTGCTAAACATCAGCATCTGTTGTCTGCATCTTAATTAGGAACTGAAAGGATGATAGTATCATGCAGTCCTTTTAACTACTAAATAGTTTTAAAAAATCTTTGTGTATTTGGAAGTGAGTATGTATATGTGGGGTGCAGGTGTATATGTACTATGACATACATATGGAGGTCAGAGGACAACTTCAGGTATTGGTCTTCACGTTCCAGACCATTTGAGGCAGGGTCTCTTCTTTGATGCTACGTTTTCCAGGCTTGCTAGTCCTCAAGCATCCAGGGATCCTCCTGTCCCTGCCTTCCATCTCACCATAGGGCCTTACAGACGTGTGCCTCCATGTCTAGCTTTATGTGACTTCTGAGAATCTAAACTTAATGTCTTAAATGTCAAAACGATCCTGATTTTGGACAGTAGAACCCATTGCAGGATGGCTGCTAGGTCCTTTGCTATGATTCCCAGTGGACTCTGACAACTTTTACCCTGGCATGACTAGTTGTTTCTTGCTCCTGTGTTCATTGCTTGATACAAACAGAACATTAGCTAATGTGAAGGAGTTGTGAGTACCTTCATGAAAATTGAATTGGAAGCATGCTGGACCAAGGGGCTCAGCTGCTGGCTTGGCTGTTGTTTTTTGTCCCTTTCAGTTGACATTAGGAAACAGTTTTTTGAAAATTTTAAAGACATACTATGCATATGGTCCCTATGGATGCAACCTTGGGGTTTGACAGCTGACATTCTAACTAAAGTACAATTTTTTTTTTTTTTTTGTCTTTTTAGTCTCTTTGAGTCAGGGTCTCCCTGTAGCTCCAGCTGGCCAGGAACTTTCTGTATAGACCAGGTTGGCCTTGAATTCACAGAGATCTGCCTGCCTCTGCCTCCTGAGTGCTAAAATTAAAGGCGTGTGCCACCATGCCCGACTCGAAAGTACAATTTCTAAATTTCAGCACTCTTATTATTTGGGGCCAGACAATTCTGAACCTAGTAGAACTACTGGATTTAATAAATAGCATTTCTGAGACATTTAACATTTCAGTCAAATCTTCCTTCAGTGCCTCGGGGAGATTGGTCTTGAACCCTTGTGGGTACCAAAACCTGTGGAAGCTCCAGTCCCCTAGACAAAAATAGCCTATGCCCATCCTCCCATATGTGTTAAGTCATCTATGCATTCCTCATGATAACTAGTACATTGGAAATTCTGTGCAAATAGTTGTAATATTGAGTTTTCCTTCAGAAATAGTGGCAAGAAAAACTGTACTCAGAACAGGTCTAAGTTTTCTCTGAAGGTATTTGATACAGGGTTTGTTGAATCCATTGAAGTGGAACTTGTATCATAGAGTGGCAACTGTAATTATAATGCCTCATGTTTTTGAAAATAAAACACTTCATTGTTGTTTAGCTTTGAGACAAAATTATAGCTGAGACAAACAGAACAGACTATGTGGGAGAAACTTCTAGCTTCTTTACTGTGATATAGTCTTACATTTGCATCTGGCATTCTGGTAATCATACAATGCCCAGGAGTTGCCTTTACTACCTAGCTGTGCCTGCTGGTCCTGGCTGTGTGTTGTAGCCTTGAAAAGCTTCAGCTTTCTCTGATCTGAAATCAAAACAGTATGTATGCTTCCCAGCTGAGTGACTAGTAAGATTTATGAGTAGCTCTCATGGTTGGCTTCCGTTGTCAACTTGACACACTTGGGAAGAGGGAACCTCAACTGGGGAATTTCCTCTATTAGATTGGCTTGTGAGCATGTCTGTGAGGCATTTTCTTGACCATTGAGTGATGTGGGAAGGCCCAGCCCACTGTTGGTAGTACCATCCCTGGGCAGGTAGATCTGGGTTACATAAGAAAGCAGGGTGAGCACAGGCCAGAGGAGCACCAGTAAATAGCATTCCTCCATGGTCAGCTCCTGCCTCCAGATTCCTGACCTAAGTCCTTGCCTTCCCTAAAAGACGAACTGTGCCTTGGAAGTGTAAGAGCCCCCTCCAGCCCCCTACAAGTTGTTTTTGGTCAGTGTTTTATCACAGCAATAGAGAAGCGAACTAGAACAGAAGACAAGGCTTTTAAAGAAGGTTAAAGAGGAACACGCAGAAATAACTTCCCACCTATAAGCAAAAAGTAAGAAGTTTTTCATCTTTTACAGAGTCCTGCCAAGTATCACAAAGCCTAGAAATTATGAAGGAGAAAGAAAATAAAGGATTTTTTAGCTTTTTTCAACGCAGTAAGAAAAAGCGGGAACAAGTAAGTATTTTCCTATGTAGCATTTTAAGATTCTTAACAGATTTTGGGGGGGGGGGTTGAGTAGTTTTTATTTTTATTATAAACAGGTGTTGTCTTTTCATTCTTTATTAGACTGTCAGCGCCCCTGCAACCCCTTTAGTAAACAAGCACCGTCCATCTTTTACGAGGTCCAACACCATTTCCAAACCCTATGTTTCCAACACACTGCCCTCGGATGCACCCAAGAAGAGACGGGCACCATTGCCTCCAATGCACATGACCCAGGGCGAGGCCCAGGCCCAGGAGAGGTGTGCTTCTCTTGCAGTAAGATCCACAAGTATGGATGACGCTGATAAGGTGTGTTGGGTTCGTTTTGTTTTTCAGGGTGAGGCAGGGAACCATCTATTTTTTTTCTCTTATCTAACTTGTCTTTTTTCACATAGACTACTCAGAAAGTAATAGTTATTAATATGCACTGAGAGGACTAGTTACTGATAAGAATGACACTGAGAAAATATTATGCATACTTCTGCCATGCAGTGAATAAGTCAGTGTTAAGTGACTTTCATCCTCAAATACATGATCTGTAAACCCAGTCTTGGCTTCCTGAAGTCCTGCCAGGATCTCCCGATGGGTGCCTGCATTTCTGTGTGTATTTTCAAAAGAAAATCTTGAGCAGTCACATGGGTCTTTCTGTTTCATTCTTGCGTTTCTGACTGCTGATATCTTCTGGGAGTCTCTGGGGGAAATCCTGGTGTCTTCCCGATACAGTGATGTGGTTTTTGAAAAATACTTTTTTTTTTTTTTTTTTTTTTTTTTGAGACAGGGTCTCCCTGTTTCCCCCGCTTTCCTGGAACTCCCTATGTAGACCAGGCTGGCCTTGAACTCACAGAGATCCGCCTGCCTCTGCCTCCCAACAGGCGTGTGCCACCACGCCCAGCTGATACTTTTAATTTTTAATGTATATTTTATTGAATTTTTGTACATTTCATACAATAAATCTTAATCAGTTTAGATCACCTCCCCAATCTGTACCCCCTATAGCTCCCCCCACCATATTTCATGTATTCTTTTATATATATTAAGACCTATCGAGTCAACAATTTGTACCCAGATGTCCCTTGGTGCAAGTTCATCCACTGGAGTCTAATCAATCTATCTAGGCTCATTCTCTTAAGGAATATTAACTCACCCTCACTCAGAAGTAATCATTTTCTTGTAGTTGCTTGGCTAAGGTTGGAGCTTGCTGCCCACTTTCCCAGTTCTATCCTAGGATTTTGTCTAATTGAGTCAGCATGGGTCTTGTGCATCCTGTCACCATTGCTTCAAGTTCATGTGAACAAGTTCCCAGAGGCCTTAAAGCCTCTCCTTATGTTCATGTGCCAACTCTGGCTCTTACAATCTTTCCACCCCTTTCTGCAGTAGTCCCTGAGCCATGGGTGGGTGAGGTTTAATATAGGATTCCTACCCAGGGACACATACTCTGCAGTCTCATTCTCTACACTTTGGCCAGCTGTGGCCTTCTGGGTACATCACACTCTGTTGCATGAGGGAACTTCACTGGTGAGAGGTGAGGGATGCATTAGTATTTGCTCTACCCCCTGTTCTGCTTTGCTCCTTTGTTTTTGTGACAACTGTGGGTGGAATGCTTTCATGGTTTCTTCCCTGGCATGCTTGTCCTTGGTATATAGGAAGGCTACTGCTCTTGGTTTGTTTTGTATGCTATCACTTTGCTGAAATTACCAGCTCTAAGAATTCCCTAGTGGGTTTTTAAGGCTCTCTTAAGAATCACATCATCTGCAAATGAGGATACTCAGCTTCTCCCTTCCTATTTATATCACTTTTACTTCTTTCTCTTGTCTTGTTGTTACGGCTAAGACTTCAAGCACTATATGGAATAACAGTGGAGAAAGTGGACATTCTTGTTTTTGTTAGACCAAACTGGGCCCCAAGATGGAGTCACTCCTGACCAGCAACCTGGTGGGTAGCATTCCAGGAAACAGAAACTAAACCATCCTAGTTTCTCAGTAACCACCTGACCCTTGTTTTAACAATGCACCCTGATCATAACAGCAGTTTTCCATCGCAGCCAACCAAACTCCTGAAAAACACCTAACTGAAGCCCCACCCCCACCAAGACGGCTGCTACTGACTCACCTTCCTGCTACAGACCCACCACCCCTACCCACAAAAGAAAAATCCGATAAAATCCAGCCTGCTGTGATGAGAAACCACTGCTCTCTTTCTCCCATGGGCGTAGTCTAGCAGCTTGTCTGTCTCAATAAATTTCTTCTTTTCTCACCTCAGACTGGTCTCTAGTGGTCCTGGGCTTTGCACAAACCTAATAGTTTTATTCCCAATTTTAGTGAAAACGCTTAGAGTTTTTCTCCATTTGTAATATCACTGGCTATAGGCTTGTCATGTATAGTTTTGATGATGCCAAGATATGTTCCCTCCATTCCTAGTTTCTTCAGTGCTTTATTTATGAATGGGTGTTGGATTGTCATCAAAGGCCTTTTCTATATCTATTGAGATGATCATGTGATCTATGACTTTGAGTTCATTTATGTGATATATTTTATTTGAGTACATTTAAACATCTATGCATTTTTGGAATTAATCCAACATGATCATGGCAAATGATCTTTTCTAAGTTATCTTGGATTTGGTTTACAAGTATTTTATTGAGAATTTTTGCATCTGCTTTTATTAAGAAGATCAGACTATGATTTTTTTGTTGTTATTGTGTCTTTATCTGATTTTGATATAAGGATTCTTCATGCTGAACTTTGTGTGTGTGTGTGTGTGTGTGTGTGTGTGTGTGTGTATGCAAGTGTGGAGGGCCGAGGCCAACATTGGGTG